GATAGATAGATAGATAGATAGATAGATAGATAGATAGATAGATAGATAGAGAATGGATGGATAGATATCAAATTGTTCAATAATCTCTAATAATGAATACAGTTTTTAAAAATAGAAATGCCTGTATCAGTACATGTAAATTAAAAGCCTTTTGAGAACCCCGTACACTTTCAGTGGAAAAAGTATCAGTTTCCAGCTTCTGGCTGTTGTAAGAAGGACAAATGATGATCAATTTTAGTTCATTAAACTAATTGGGGGGGGGGATTTTGAATGTTCATATCAGGACTTTAGTTCTTAAACAGAGTCTCCCTATTTTTACATTTAGTGCGAGCTGCACTAAATTTTTTGTTAAATCAAATCAAAGAAATTTCATAAATACGTATATGATTTTATAAATTGCTTTTTAAATAAATGTTTAGTCCAAATTTTGCTACATTGAATATTGTGATAATGCTCTTTAATTCACTTTTTTTCTTTCTACCGTGTTTTTCCGAAAATAAGACAGGGTCTTATTTTCTTTTGACCCACAAAATATAACTTGGGTCTTATTATCAGGGGAGGGCTTATTGTTTTGGGTTGCTGGGAGGCTGCTCTCTTGTGAGCAGCCTCCCGAAGAGCCGGGCAAAGCCTCAGGGTCGAACGGCTGTGTTGTGCTGTCAGAGCAACAACACAGCAGCCATGCGGTGCCCACACTCATGAGCATCCACCCAGCAACCCCCCTTTCCAGCCTGGCACAGCGCCATTCACTGACCTAGGGGTATCACCAAGCCGCGGGAGCACCTGTTCACCGCCCTCTGGCTCACGCGGCTCGGTGCCTTCGGAATGTCCCTAAGTCAGTGAATGGGGCTCTGCATGGCTGGAGAGGGGGGTTGTGTGAGCGGCTTTTCTGCTCCCCGCTCATGCAACTCCTAGGCTCACACTGCCCTTGCCTACTCTCCCTTGCTGTTCAGCCCTGTGCCCAGCTCTTCAGGAGCCCGCTTGCAAGAGAGCAACCGCCCAGCAACCCCCCTCTCCAGCTGGGCACAGTGCCACTGACCGACCTAGCGGTATCCCGAAGGCACCAAGCAATGCAAGCGCCTTTGCCCCCACCTCATTCCCGTAGTTTGGCGCCTTCGGGATACCTCTAGGTCAGCGAGTGATGCTCTGCCTGGCCAGAGGGGGAGATTGTCTAGAGGGCTTATTTTCAGGGGGGGCTTATATTTTTGCCCACCCGAAAAATGTGGCATGGCCTTAGTTTCAGGACATGTCGTATTTTCGGGGAAACACGGTAGCTCCAATAAAAAAAATATGGAAACTTCAAAGTGTTCCAAAGTTGTTTTTTGTTTGTTTGGTTAAGATTTCCAAATGCATTAACAATGCATTGCTAATTTATGAGCTTCTTGTTGTTGCCATGCTGCAGTTACTATATTTTCCCTTTTCAGTTATTTCTTGTGCAAGTCTTCGATCTCCACCAAATGGAAACAAGATTGGGACTATGACAATTTATGGAGCCACAGCAATCTTTACCTGTAACACTGGATATACACTTGTTGGGTCTCATGTGAGAGAATGCTTAGCAAATGGACTTTGGAGTGGAACTGAAACACAGTGTCTTGGTAAATATTTATAAAGAGTTGCATTGTA